ATCCTCTCCGTCGCCGCCTCTATTAGAGGCTAAAACCCTAGCCGACGCCTCTCTCTCGCCTCTCTCTCTCACCTCCTCCGGCGACGACCTCCGTCGAGCTCCATCGCTAGCAGCAACACTACCTCCGGTCGAGCTCCACCTCATGGTCTCACCAACTCCGGTCTCACCTTTTTCACAGGCTCACCTTCTCCAGCACTGCAGCACCAAATCCCCAGCTAGGCGGCTATCTCCAAAGCCCTCCACCACCGTCACCATCGCACTTTGTTGGGCTTGGTCTGTAACAGAGAGAAAAAGGTAATTTGGCTAAATCCTAAATATTTTGTAGGCTCCTCTACTCAAAAGTCATTTTAAAATCAAATGCTTGTTACTTAGGGGTTCAAATGGGTGGTTTCTATAGACAACTGAGTGGTTAATTGAATAAAGTGTTGGCTTGCTAAGATCATACCTCGACTTGATCAAATGCCACATTAAAGAGTTAGGTATAATGGCAGTTTAACTACGTACAATGTTTACACATATCTAAATTTGACCGCTATCTGACTTTTCGCTATTTGCCGATATTATGCCGCAATAGCCCCAAATAGCCTTGACTTTAACCCCATGACGTCATTACATAAAATATGATTGATTTGAAGGATGCAATCATTAAAAACAAATTTCGAGGATTGACAGCTCTGATCTGCCAGTGAATGTAAGCTGAGAGAAGGAGAAAGAAGAGGATTTTCGGGTGAGAAATATAAAAAAGAAATAAAGTTTTTCTTCAAGTAGGGTACCTTGGTCTTTTGACACACGCGATCTGCACATGGCAGGTCGGAATTAAGTTATATTTTTATTAACCCCCACTATGTAAGGGTTTTGCAAAGTTTAGCCAATCTCTTTTACGCGGGTCGGGTTGGCACAAATCGAGCAATCCGAATCCCAACATCGCCGAGTCGAGAAAGCTAGGGTTTTGCAAACTTTCTTAAACCCATATACTTCCTCTCTCACTTTCTCCAACGAACCAGCCAACAGAGTCGCGAGATCTCCTCTCTCAATTTATTTATACTTGCTTGAAATTCTT